GGAAAGGTAAGGATTAATCTCTTCTGACCGCAGCTATGGATCGAATAACACGTTCCTCTCTGTTTTTCTGTTTTACTGTCTGTGTCCTTATCTCTTTCTGGTTTCCCTCTTAGAATGTACTGATAGCAAGCGTGTCATACGCCGTAAATAGGTTGGTAAAAAAGTAGTAATATAAGATTAGCGTTAAATTTCGTGCCTGGGTTTTATTGTTAACTAGCGTTGCCCGGGGATATAACAGTAAGAGATAGATCAAGTATCGACCATCATAAAGACTGAAAAATAAAATTGACAAAGATTATTGTTTAAGGTTGACGGACACGCATGTCTTATTTATTTATTTTTTATTTTTTTTTTACGAATTGGTCAAACCCAAACTCAAACAAAAACATTGTTTTCAATCGTTATGAGTCTACCGATTGAATAGAATTTTATTATAAACAATTGTCTTGTAAATGGAATTTTTAAAGCATTCTGAATGTAAAAATAAAGAAAAAAGTGTGCAGGACAATAAGAAACACTACCTGCCAAAAAAGAAGTGAAGTCCTGTGAAGTTTTGTTGAAATCGGTTGAAAAATGTAGGAAATCCGATCCCATATATAAACGAACACACACACACACACACACACACACACACACACACACACACACACACACACACACACACAAACAAACAACCTGGGTTTTATAATAAGTATAACTCGATATGAGTTGTCCCCTTTCATTCTGGCGACAGAATCGTGTTTTATCGTGTTTTCAAATTGATTTCATGCAAAAACAATTGTGTTTTTCCAATTTTTGGCGCGGTCAGAACCACCGCAAGGTAATTTTACGCAGTCCTGTGAAGTTTTGTTGAAATTGGTTGAAAAATGTACGAAATCCGATCCAATATATAAACGTACAGATACACACACAATCTGCGTTTTATAATAAGTAAGATATAAAATAACTTCCTATAGACACTGCCTTTTGTTGTTGGTGCCTATTTCATATGTATTCAAGGT